GTGTGTGTGTGTGTGTTTGGTTGGTTGGTCGGTCGGTCGGTCGGTCGGTCGGTTGGTTGGGCGTGTGGGTGGCGGGCTGGCTGGCTGGCTGGCTGGCTGCCTGTGTGGCTAGTTGGTTGACTGCTTGGCTGGCTGGCTGCTGGCTGGCTGGCTGCCTGTGTGGCTTGGCTGGCTGGCTGGCTGCTGGCTGGCTGGCTGCCTGTGTGGCTTGGCTGGCTGGCTGGTTGGGTGGCTGGCTGGCTGACTGGCTGGCTGGCTGCCTGTGTGGCTTGGCTGGCTGGCTGGCTGGCTGGCTGGCTGGCTGGCTGGCTGGCTGGCTGGCTGGCTGGCTGGTTGGTTGGTTGGTTGGTTGCTTGGTTTGCTGGTTGTCTGTCTGTTTGCCTGCCTGCCTGCCCACCCGTTCGCTTGCTTGCTTGTTTGCTTGATTGCTGCTTGCTTGTTCGTTCGTGCGTCCGTTCATTCCTTTGTTTGTTTGTCTGTTTGATTGCTTGTGTGTTTATTGTTTTGTTCATATGTTGCTGCTTGCTTGATTGTTTGTTTTGTTTGTTTGTTTGCTTGCTTGCTTGTTTGGTTTGGTTGTGGCTCGCTCTTGTTGTTGTCGTTGTTGCTGGCGGTGGTTTGCGTCTTGGTCTTGGCCAACCGCAGTCCAAGACACAGAAAGCAAACGACCCAGAAGGAGGAGACGGCCTTCAAAGGGGCCAACACCTCCTCCCAGCTCACCCCTCCAGCAATACCTGGGATTGAAGCCGAAGGGACGGATTCCACCCGTGCCTTTGCGCAGGTGTTGATTTTACCCGCTCAAATTCCCAAACCAGATCAGGAATTCTTTGTCAGGGACCTTGGGTGAGCTTCCTTGAGCACCAAATGACGGCCCAGGGTCCTCCCATTGTCTTACAGTAGTTGTCTTGCCTACCCCAGAAGTTCAGTTGGCGGTGCTTGACATATGGGTATGGCTCATAAAATTAAAGAGCTAAGGCAAACCGCAGGTTTTAGTCTTTGGCTTCATTTACCAAGGTGCCATTTAGGTACCTGGAGTCTCTATGACCCTTTAAAAATTGGGTCAATACCCAAAATAAAGGGGTCATGGACCCATTTTTAAAGGGTCATGGAGACTCCAGGTACATATGTTTGAGCCACAGCCATATGCTCAACTGCCTCATGAGTCAAAGGAACCTGAGACAAATCCACCGACCTTCCGCGCGCCGGACCGGGACAATGTCGTCTGATACGGAGGCGCGGCACTTTGATGCAGGTCGGGTGTCTTTTTGCCGCCATTTGAGAGCAAATGGGCGACCGTTTCAAAAAAAAGAGAACCCTTCACTACGCACAAAAGGCGGCAAAGGAAAAACCCTTTGATGAGGTTCCACTAAACATCGTCTTCGCGGAGCTGGGAAAGCAGGGGTTGCGGGCTCGAATTCCCCGGCTCTTTGGCGGCAAAGAAGCTCTGGGAAACATGAAGTCAACCGGAGAGCAAGGAGGGGGAAATCAAGAGGGACATGTCTGGGGACAATGAAAGGGCAATGAGGAGGAGATGAAGGGAAACTGAGGGAAATGAAGGGGAACTCAAAGGGAAACGAAGGGGAAAGGAATGCGACCTGCATGGGAAATTGATGGGAAATGACAATGAAGAGGACCTGAAGCGGAAATGACAGGGAATTAAATGGAAACGAAGGGGGTAAATCAAAATGACATGAAGGGAAATGGACGGGAAATGAGAGGAAATGAAAGGAGAGGAAATGAAAGGGAAATGAAAGGAAAGTGAAGAGAAATGAAAGGGACATGAAAAGGACATGAGGGGGAAATTCAGGCAAATGAAGCGAGATGAAGGGGAAATGAAGGGGAAATGAAAGGGCAACGAAGGGTAAATGAATGGGACACGCATGGGAAACCAATGGGAAATGAAGGGGGGATGAAGGGAAAATGAAAGGGGCATGAAAGGGACATGTCTGAGAGATGCAATGTTGGCGGATTGAAAAGTCTTTTCAACAAGGAACATTGTCCTCCGGGCAGTTCTCTTAGGGGGAGAAGGGTAGCAGTTTTGACGCCCATTTTGGAGTTGAACACTGGGAAGATTGGGGTCTGTCCCCTAAGTTCTCCCCAAATGGGTGTCTCTCAAAACAAGGGACCCCTATTTGGGTGGTGTTTGAAAGAAAAACAACATGAAGAGGCCCTTAATTTGAGAAACGCCCAAATGAACCACGCATCTGTGAATTAACTCTATCTCAATTGAGAAAATTGAGAAGAAGTTGGCCCCCTCCTCGGGCTACAAGAGCCTTCCGCTCCACCTCTGCTCTCAAGAAAACGAACCTTGCCCCTGAATTGAACAAATGTATACCATGCATCGCATGGTGTGTGGTCCTTGACATGTGGAAGATTCGTTGCAGAGAGGAAAGCAAGTTGTGCGGCGATTTCAGCTCAGCGATGGTTTATGTGACACACCCATGAGCTGTTGAGTCGCTATGTATCAACATAGCCGCCCCAACGGTGCAGTAATTGCCACACAAACGCACCCAAATGGGCGAGTCTTTTGTTGATGGTGGCTTCTTTTGTTGTGATTTGGAAGGACAACCACATGTGAAACTCCTTGGGGCTCCAAAAATGCCACGCCCAAGCCACGTTTGCCTGACTGGGTTGCTGTTGACCCCCCCGCAAAAAGTTCCACTCTTTGGGGGGTTTAGTGGAAAACCCCCAAATAGTTTTTTCCCCGAAAAAAAATCAGTCTGAAGAAATCCGTAGCCGTCTTTGGCTGAGTTGCTGCTGAAGAGGCTGAGCATCGTGTCGACGACCGAGCCAAAGTATCGCTCCCGGGCCTCCAGTTCCGCGACAGTCAGCTGGATGCCGCCGGCGTCGTTTCGGTGGTCGTTCATCGCTTGGGCGAAGAGCAGCGCGAAGACGTAGACGATCCTGGGACCAAAGGGACGTGAGATCATGAGATCCTGAGACCTGCGTCTGTCTCACTTTGGGTCCAGTGAATTCCTCAGATTCCCCATGGGGAAACAAGGGCATCCTTATTGGGTGCTACATCCTTGTAGACGATCCTGAGCAACATCTTGGGTGCTGTTGACCCCCCTGCAACAAGTTTAACTTGGGGGGGGTTTAGTTTAGTGGAAAACCCCTAATGATTTCACGAAAAGTTGAAGTCAGCAACATGGCCATGGGTCAAAATCCAAATCGTGCCCCCAGTGAACATCCGATTCAATCCCACAAAAATAGGTTCTAAAATGGGTGGTGCACTGAAAAACCCAAAATGGTACCATTGGTTTTGACCCACAATCCTGAGCGTAGGTGTCCTCTTGAAAAAAATAGACGGATTTCCCTAGATGCACCTATTGTTGTGCCAAAACAACGAAAAAGGACGTCTATGATCCTCAGCAAATGACATCTGGCAGAAGGCCCTCGATCTGTTTTTTTCTGGCCAGGATCTGGGGATTGTTTTCCTCCCCCCCCGTTTCTTTTCTGGACGTATTTCGGTTCGTCCGTGTCTGTCTCTGGATGTTGGGTCCGAATTCGACGTGGGTTTCTATTCTCTTGAGGGTAACCTATTCAGGCTGGTGTGAACCAAAAGGAACCCTAGAGTCTCCATGACCCTAGGAGAAAATGGGTCCCTGCCCCCTTGATTTTGGGTAATGACCCCATTGTTAAAGGGTCATGGAGACTCCAGGTAGCCCAAACTTCCATCCAGGCATCAAGACCAGCAAGACGAGCGCCCAGAACAGCGACTTCAGCGTGTGAAAGATGGAGGACACCAGAGTTCTCAGCGCCATGACAAAGCCTCACAGCCCGGCGGTGGGAAGAGAGGTCCCTTTTGGGCTTCATCGCCTCTTTGTGGATTTCCCCCTTTTGAGGTACCCAAACCGGGGCCCGGGTGAAGGCTTTTTTTTGGGGGGGGGGGCCCCACCATCTCTCAAATTGAGAGCCTTTGTTTTAGATACCAAAAGGACTTCAACTGGGGAATCTGGTCCCCTCGGCTCGGCTCGGAAAAACTCTCCGGGGCCAGGGGGCGACTTCTTTCAGCCGAAGCGCACGGCACATGGACCAAACGTGGGACACCAACAAATCTGTTTTTTTTCTTCTCTGTGTGTTTTCCTCTTCCGCTTATTGTTGTTTTTGGTATCGCCCCCACTCAGGGGGCGTGTAATTACCGTGGTTTTAAGGGGGGGTTCGGGGGGGGGTTTTCGGGGGGGGGGGGGGGGGTTCGGGGATGGTATCTTCCATGGTCATGATTCTGGAATGACACCTTCCATGGTCATGCATTCTTGCATGTCATGCGCAGTGTTTTGGCATCATGTGTGAAAGTAGTGAAGCCCAATCATCTCGCGGAACATGGATCTCGCCTGAGTCAGAGCTCTTTGCTGAGTTGCAGGGCACTGTGGACCTTTGCACTCCTGTGCGGCCACAGAGGCCCCACCGCGTAGAGCTTGAGGCAGCAGCCGAACAGCCGCCCTTTGCAGAGGCTGCCGTTGCCGCGCAGCTTGCACTTGCGCACGGCGCGCAAGACTTCATGGGAGGGCCGTTTCGTTTCACATGTTTGTTGTTTGCTGGCATGTTAACTGGTCAAACAGGGTTGTCATCTATCTTTGTGTCCCGACACTAGGATTTGCCAGTGCGTTTTCACATGCAGCCCCTTGCCCAGAGATGTGGCCCATTCTTGATTCTGCCTCGGGAGTTTGCAGACAACTCAGCTGTCGAAGTGTCCTTTTATCGCTCGGTCATCACTGCAGCCGGTATGAACACCAGCGCACAGACGCTGCGAGGCTTGGTGCAACGAGCCGCAGAAGCTCTTGTCAGCCTGGCCCGTGCTGAGCTTTACCATTTTCAGAGTCTTGGCCAGGAGAGCAAGAGGTCTCTTTGGTCGGCGTGCATAGATCGACATCTGGCCATGGTGGCCAACAGATCATATTATGTTCTAGTGGTGGAGCGTGACCGCGCCAGGCAGTTGGACTTGCTGCGCCAGAGGGAGCAAAGCCGCCGACAGCTGACGCTCACCCAAATGGCCAACAGTGCGGGCTGGCACGACCGACTCCGGAGCAAGCTGCGTTCGTGCCGCATTGACAGCGGGCAAGAGCAGCTGGATGTTTTTTGGCACGCCCTCACTTCATTGAGCTGTGGATCGACGCCGTGGATTCCTTGGTCTGAGTTGATTTCTGTGTGGCCTGACTCCCTCGAATCAGCTAGAGAGCTGGCCGAAAGTTTTCAATCCATTGGCATGATAGGCTTTCGCGCCGATGGCGCTATAAGGTTGACAGAGCCCTGGGACCCATTGGAAACACATAGGCAGCAGGTTTTGCAGGATGCTTTGGCATGGTTAGAGGTGGCACGCTCATCAAGGGACTAGACTGTCGCACTTGGCTTGAAAAGAGGGCTGCCTGCTATGTGTACCCGCTATGTATTGCTTTTCCAACCCGCAATGCTCTTGTGTACCCCTCTGCTTTTTCAGCGACGGGCTAACATAAAGGACTGAAGCACGCATGTCCACTGTGTCTGCAGCTGTCGCCATGCCCAAACGCAAGGCGCCGTGCTTGCAGAGCCACAAGTGTTCGCTCTGCGGAGGGAGCGGGCACAATGTGGCCAAATGTCGTCTACCGGGGGCGGCTCTTTTTCGTCGACTTCGCCGTGAGCACGCTCGGAAAACAGGCACTACTTCGAAGCAGACAGGCCGGAAGGCTTCCACTAGGGCGCGCGGCAAGCGCTTCGGCAAGTACAAGAACCAGCAAAGTCGCAAGTACTCCGGCCACCAGTCCGTGAGCCAGAAACGCAAGGCAGTTGCAGCCCGCAAGAAGGCAGAAGGTAAGAAGCTGGCAGGCCATGATGACAAACACATCGGTATTCTCAAGGGCCACTGAAGGGAAACAAACTGTTTGCCACTTATTTAGTCCTAGTCATTGCCGTGGAATGGTTTGGGGTTTTGTGCATTGTTGCTGAAGTACTTGAGTAACCCTGTGGCAGGTGACACAGCAGCTGCGCTCAAGGAGTTGCAAGCAGCCGGCTACTTGAAGAAGCCAAAGTTTTGCCCTTGCTGCAACTGTGGCGCTCTGTTCTTGCGCACGGACCGAGGCCCGCGGTCTGCTTTGTACAGGTGCAACCAGAATGACTGCCGTCGTTCCGTTTCGGCACTGCACCTCGGTGTTTTTCCCAAGTTGGTAGGCAGAGGTTTCACTCCAATTCAGCTGTTGTTGGCAGTGCGCCACTACTGCGCAGCCAGTTCGGCAGTGAACGTTCGTGCTTTCGCTAAGACTTTGGGAGGGGTCACTGAGAAGCCCCTCTTGCGGCTTTTCCTTGCTTTGCGGAAAGCCGAAGCAGCGGAGGGCACTAGGCTTAACGCCCGTCTTCGCCTGAAAGGCGCCGTGGAAGTGGATGCGCACAAGGTGCGCACAGCACGAGTTTCAGTGAACACCACAAAGTACCAAGACCTGGCTGACCAGCTGAAGCGCCGGTACCAGGCCCGTGCTCGCGCAGCATCGCATTTTGTGATGCATGTGCCAATTTTGGGAGGCTTTGAGAGAAGCACTGCAAAGTGTTTGCTAGAGCCAACCAGCTTCCGTTTGCTACTTCCTTCGTCACGACCAGGTGCTGAAAGCGCCGCAGACGTGCGGCAAAGCCGTATCCTTGACAAGCTGGCTCCTAGATCCATCGTCTCAGACGGCGCACGTGCATGGCCTTGTGTGGCCAAAGAGTTGAGGAAGGGTCTCAAGTGTGTTCAGGTGAACCACCGAGCCCAACAGTTCGTTCGCAAAGCGGGGAAGCAACTTGCTGGAACCCAGGCAGCAGACCAGCGCTGGCGAAGGCTTCAAAGCTGGATCCCGAAAAGTGTGCACTCCATGTACCGTGGGAAGGTAAACATGGAGGTCTGGGATTACATCCGGTCCTCACACGGATTACTTTACCAAGTTGGGCACCACAATGCGGAAGCATTGTGCGCGCAAGTGAACGGAGCTGCAGCTGCAAGGTGGGAAAAAGCCAAGTTTTTTTTCCGCGCTCCGCAACTGTGGGAAAGCCCACGAATCGAAGCTGAAGGGGCCCAAAATCAATGGTAAAACACACGCCCCCTGAGCGGGGGCGCATCCTTGTTTTTTTTGTTTTTCTCCGGTTGGGCGAGCTAATACTTGGCCTGTTTCAGTGATTCGCCCTGGACGTCCGCATTAAGGGCAAATCTGCTTTTTTAGGCAGATCCCGGGGCCCACCAAATGCCGGCGGAAATTGATTGAGTATGGGTCACAATGAAACCGACAAAAACCGCAGGTGTTGGTCATTGTTTCCATTTACCAGGGCCACACATTTTGGGGTTACCCAATTTTTGACCCACAGCCGCTTGACCCCCAGCTGGCGTCGCCCTTCACAGCTCCAGCCTCGAAAGATGGAACTGCCACCCTGGATGGATTTGATATTCAATCGGCGGTGGGTCGAAAATAGGAGGACTAAAATCTGGGGTCCGGGTCCCTTATCTTGACCCATACCCAAACCATGGTTGTAAAAACATGCCCCAAACCTGTGATACCAAAGTGGGCCATCCTTCTGACTACGTCACTTTAATGCTATGCAACCATCTCGCAGTCATCTTGACTCACCAAATTCAACCTGTGAAACGCTGCCCTGTCATTGTTTCGAGGAAAACTCAACGGAAGGCAACCGCAGGACGAGTTGACAATCATAAATCTGACGGGGCACGCTCCTTCAACAGGAGCCTTACCCCAAGACCAAAACAACAGAGCATCTCAGTATGAACATTAGCCAAGTTGGCCCATCCAGACTTTGAACTGTTATTGGGGGCAGTCATCTTTAAGCCAAATGCCGGTCGGTTAATTCGGGTAAAGCATTCCAAGGACCATCTCAGGCCATTTTTTCTGGGGGATTCGCCTAGCTTACGACGATACGCGGACTTTGCGACCTTCCGGCTTCTGGAATGGTCATGCGGGGACGACGAACATGTCAGGAATGTGCAAGAGGCAGTCCCCCCACTTGTTCGGCCAAATTAGTTGGTGAAGCTGAACCTGTCCGTGGCTAACTTCCTGAGTGGATGAGCCACAAATAGTCCAAACTTATCTCGGTTGCGAAATCTGCTCCCCTGCTAAAAGTGACTAACTTTTAGTGGTTTAATGGAAAACCCATTGGTTGGCAAAAAGTTAAAGTCCTAACACCCAAGCAAAATGCGCCAAAGTTCTTGTGTACCCCCGAAATGGTCCAGACCCAACAAGTCTCCGAGACGCGGAAGACCCGCATCAACCTCACCGTCTTGAAGAGCCGCACCATGCGGATGATGCGGAACGCCTTCCTGCCGCTCGCCGGGCGAAACGCCGTTCTCGTGGGAAACGTGTCGTGCGTCGACTCAGAACCGATCGGTACCAAATCTAGGGTCCTCCAGTAGAGAGGTTAGAATAAGGGTACCATTTTGTCTTTTTTGTCATTTTAGTAGGGGAACCCAAAACCCCAAAAAGGGTAAATGGGAAACCCAAAACCCCAGAAACCACATTTTCCATTCTTGAAGAGAAGGATCTAGAATAAGGCTGTACCAAATATATATATATAGATATATATATATATACCTGGATCTTCTAAGGGTACGTAATTTCTGCCGCTTGGCTAAACTGCAGAAAATGTTGCCGTTTCAATTAATTTCAGCCGCTTCAATAAAAACTTGCCGTTTTGCGAATTTCCTGCAGTTTCGTTCAATGTTGCAATGTTGGCAGAGCTGTTTTGCATCATTGCCCCAATTTAGTGCGGACAAATGCGCAAGGGTGTGGCAACTAAAATGCCCAGATTGTAAAGTCGCTCAAAAGCTTTGGATAGCAGGAAAAATCCTGCTACTGCCGCGCATCCCTGGGCAAAGCCAGTACCGTTGTTCAAGCACGTGTGCAGGATTTGGGGCTGAGCATGCTCTCATTTTTGTATCTGTAAATGGTGGCTTTCAAAAGCCCCGAAGGCTCTGGCACCAACATCTTGAGAACTCCAGACTCGTGCGCGCAAAGCAACTCTGCAGCAAATGCAACTGTATGTTGCAAACTAACATGTCAAGACGTGCTCACCCAGGAGGACATGCGAGCCCTGTAGCTTAAGCTCCTCACTTGTTTTAAAGTCGCAGTCACCCCTCGCACCCTCTCTCGGCACAGCACGCCACCAACACGAATCACATCACCACTTATTGGTTTCAAACAGTGCCAGCATCAGCAAGGATACATTCAAGTTTAATTGCACTTAATATGTTGTGGCTGCTTACTCATATTCTTTTCAAGCATGACTGCAGCCAGAATAATGACCGACAGTCATTTCCGAGGACAGCCCTTACGGGAGAGCCCATGTGATAGAGCAGAATTCTCGCCGTTTGGCCGCCAATTATCGCCGTTTTGTTTTTGCAAATTTGGACGTAGTTGCCTGAATCTTTCCAAGGCAACACAACTCGGGGTCTTTCTTTCTAGGGCTGCGATGGCAAGCCCCGTTGCAATTCAGAAATTGACGCTTCCCAGGTGTGTGCAGCAGTAGACAAAGCCATCCAACAGCAATCTCGCGGCCACTGCTGAAGTAGCAACTTACATTTTTATGTGTTGGCGTGGTTCCCGCATATTTCCTCGTTTCCCACGCTTCCAACCTTCTTGACTTGCATGCAAACCAGCCTAAAGCGGATTGGCCTTCCATCCTAGAGTGCCGTTAACCACTATGCAAGTCTTGCCCTTCTGAAGGTAGGAAGGCATTTCAAGCTAAACATGTGTTAAACATGCGTCAAGTTTTAGTCGCAAATGGTCTCAACAACTCAGCAAAGAACACTTGACATTGTGTGATTCCTGAAGCCATTAGAGATCTTACCACTCCCACTGTGAGTGTTGCTTGAAATGGCTATAACCTTCGCTGCGCAGCAGCAGTAAAACCAGTTCATGACAGTGGTTGGATGCTGTTTGCTGGCCCTCCAATACTCTCAGAGGCGTGATGAAGAAACAAAATAGATCACTGCGGCGCTAGTGCTGCGAAGTCAAGTGCCTCACATTCGACCAGAACCAGCATACTGGCATGAGTTTCAAGCGCCACATGACCTCGAATATGCACCCTGATGCTGAAAAAACGAAAAGCGCAGTTTGCATCAAAATGCGCCGTCTCAACTTAAAACATGGTTGTGCCCGAAACTGCTGAAATTTTGCACCTCTTAGAAGATGCAGGTATATATATATATATATACGTATAGACATCACATGTTACAACTTGGTATTTGTCTTGTTGATACCACGACAGATAGGTATCTTTGGGCTCGGTTCCACTAAAACTTGTGGGATCTTTGAATGAAGGTCAAGGGTGCGGCTGCAAAGCTGGGCGGACCCTACAACTATGGTCCCTGGGGTTCCAGAAAAGGTTCTTAGGAGGGGGGCGGAAGCCTCCCAATGGCCTTCCATGAAACTTGAGGAAGGCTCACATCCCTCAAGTCACCATGACTCACATCCGGCACAAATAGCAATCACTGGCACGGCCTGCGCCAAGTTAACCAGACTGCATCAAGCAACAATGGTAACACAATACATGGGCGCACGACACGAGGCATCGTTTGACAAAAACAAAAACGCACGCACGATACGAAAATACGAGCGATGAAACCTGCAGCAAGGTTCCATCTGAGTGGGAGCGTAGGCCAACTCAAGTCAAATGGTAGATCAGCTTCGAACCATCCATCGCAGCTGAGGAGCACACAAGTCTTTGGGAATTACAAGCACAAGTCCCAACCGGCAACTTCTGCGTATGCCGGCATTTTGAGGCATCACACAAACATACACACACACACACAATCTGAGCTATTGTCTATTGTGCTATAAAACAAAAAACGGCATCCCCTATAAAATGTTTTGGGAAGGGGTTCTTACAAGGGTTATATTGAATTGTCTTTCCAGATTTGGGGATTGTGCCAAAGATGGGAGCTATCGAGTTCACTTTCCCACCGACATGTGGCTCTGGGTAGCACCCCCAGCAGCCAAGGCGCAAGCCCGCAATTCCGTGCATACTCGTCCCTGATGACACACTCAGGAACTGCAGGATGATCTCGGTAACGGAGCTCAAGACGATGATGGAGTCCAGCAGATCTCGGTTCCAAAATCCGAAATAAATATTTGCCAGGTGAACTGCCGGAGGTGTTTCGGGCAAGTGTCTGTCTAACCGGCCTGTCATTGTCCTGAGATGGTGTTTTGCAAGACACACTCACACACGCCTAAATCTATCACATACATGCATCTAGACAATTACATGCTGCTGCTCATCAACGAGAATGCAGACATTGGCCAACTCAATTCCCAACACACATGGATTCGCATGCATGCAAAGCCTTTATGTTCCCAGGCCCGCCACTGCCATGAGATTTCACCCATGCATGTAGTCACATAGCTCGCTCAAATAACTGACGCCTTGAAAGACGAGAACAAGAAGCGCCCAACACCCAATTAGCTTTGGGTTCTACCAAAGTGTATCAAAGGGATTCTGCAGGACCTCTTTATGCACCATACACCGCATTGGAAAATGAGCCAACTGGGGATCTGCTGACATACGCCCTGAAAGTTCTCCTGAGATATCCACTTGCCCCGACTTGTTTGGCCTGACAATTCCAAAGCCACTGATCTGCCGGGCATGGCATGCGGCAAGTGTGCAGGAACAAACACCTGGTCAATCCAGGGAGTCCGGAACCCATCTGCAAGTCTTACAATCCCCAAACCCAAAACAAGCAATCCTTCAAGTGAAGGAAGGACCCTGACGACCTCGCTTTGGTTCCAAGATCGCCATGCATGTATTTGGGTGACCCCGGGTTCGCACAACTGGCTTCTTTTCGTATGCGACGCCTCAGTTGCCCAGCTCGGACCCAAAAATCAAAGGTCCGCTTAAGACCGCTAAAAAAGGATCGTGCTGGGAAACAGCAAATCATCTGACTGAGACTGCGAGCTGTTTCGGGTCGAGACGCTCCAAGTCCAATCCTCGGACCAAATGAAGTGCCAAATCCCGTAGGCGAAGAATCTCACCAGCAGCTCCACCAAGAACACCACGGTGTAGAAATACCTCAGGCCGAAACCAACATGTTCCGGTATTTTGCGCAGTTCCTGCAGAAATTCCCGTTGGTTTCTATGTATGGTTGGTTATCAACCCGCTGACTAGGGTTTGCTGGGTTTGCCAAGCTTAATAACCCAACATATGCGGTGTAGGGTCAAATGGGATGGGGAAGTTGGGCAGAGGGAATGCCCATCCTCACCCTTGATTCCCTTGGGTGTTCGGCCAACTTGGGTTTTTAGTAGCCACTAGGCTCTGACTTCTGACCCACCTGTACTTGGTTGACGTTGGAAGGGGAGCAACAATTTGAATTTTAGCAGTTAAGTGGTTGGATTTGCCACTAAACCACACTAAGCAAACATGTTGTTAAAAAAAAAAAAAAAAAAAAAAAAACTGTTTCCCAACAACAACCATCTATAAGTGCCTAAGGGGAGGTACCGGTTTCCCGCACCGTTAAGCTAAAAGCATCACCGCACCAAGCCAAAAGGTCCGGTATAAAGCCACACGTGTTCGGTTTTTCTGCACGATGTGGGCAAAACATCTCTTCCAATGCCCTTCGCTTGCTCCAGGGTTTCGTTGAGATGGCAAGCGAATGACCCAACAGCACCAAACTGGGACACGATTGACAAAAGTTGACAAAATGTGCCAAAACTGGGATAATGACAAGAAATCCAGTCGTTCATCCTTCTACCAAGTCGGCCCAAACAAAAGGCTGTGGCCAACCTTGGCGCGGATGGTTGAAGTATATATATATATAATATATATATATATATATATATCCATGTGGGTGTGTCTTCTTTTAGGGTGCCCCCTAAAATGATGTTTGCTTCCTTTTGATTTCCCTTTAAAACCTACCAAAAAGGGTACCCTCAAAAACACAAACCCATGTGTATATATATATAGATAGATATTACAAGGAGATTGTGCTGCTTCTTAGAAATGACAAACAAAACCTCGCCATGGCCCGAAGGTAACCGGGCAACACAACACTTCCGCAGCTTGGCCAAGCAGCGACACGGTGCTCAGCAGCTCGTTTGTGTGGTCACCGGTCCTCGCAAGTGGCCCGCTGCTTGGTTGCTGTTGACCTTTTTGCAAAAAGTTTAACTTTTTGGGGGTTTACTAAAAAAACCCTTCATTTCCCAGAAAGTTAAAGTCTAAAGATCCAACCCAATAGAACAACAGCGGGGAAAAATGCTTGTTGCAGGAAAAAACACCTCCCCAAAAACAGGACAACTCGGAGCAACTGGGCCACTGCGCGAACCAACCTGGCGGAGTGCTGGCAGAAACTATGAGTCTGCGCTAAAACTCAACTGTTCTGCAAAGTTCAACTTCTAGGCAACATCTAGACTCGCAGGGTCCGAGTCTGGGGAGACGTGAGCTGGAAAAAAAAACCGTATTAAAACTCTTATCCCAGGATGTTTTCATTGCAAATCCAAGCGGCGGTCTTCATAAGAGTGAGGTCCCCCAAAAACATGCCCCTTAAGTGTATGAGGTCTCAGGTGTGTACACCGCTGCAAATTGTTGCTGGCTGCTGCTGCTGCGGCTGCTGCTGCTGGCTGCTGCTGCTGCTGCTGCTGGCTGCTGCTGCTGCTGCTGGCTGCTGGCTGCTGCTGGCTGCTGCTGCTGCTGCTGGCTGCTGCGGCTGTTGCTGGCTGCTGCTGCTGCGGCTGCTGCTGCTGGCTGCTGCTGCTGCTGCTGCTGGCTGCTGCTGCAACTCATTGCTGGGATCTGCAGAAACAAAGAAAGTGCAAACTACAGAAATGGGCCACTCCTGATCCAAGGCATCTACGACTTGCGCGCGACTTGCGCGCGACTTGCGCGAAAATTTAGCAATCTTCCGGATTCTTTCGACCATGCGGATGAAGATGATGATGATGATGATGATGATGATGATGATGATGATGATGATGATGATGATGATGATGATCATCACTGCGTCACTTGCGCTTCACTTGCGCTTTACTTGCGCGGCCCCATGTTTGACTTGCGCGGCCGCTCCTGCAACACACTCCTGCCATTCAAATTACAAGCGGCGGTGCAGCTAATTTGATAGGTCCAAAAGACCTGGGATCATGCCTGACATTGACACATACAACGTTTTTTTTTGTGTTTTTTTTTGACTCACGTGCTTTCAGGGTTCAACAGCTTGGCAAGCAAACTATGTAAAATTGAAACTTGACGAAGCATGTCGCCGTTTGGTTGGCTTCCGCCCCCCGCCTGATTTGCTCCTGGACTTCGATCCCGATAAACACCGCATTGGTGACCACCACCTACCGAAAGCCACGGTCGAGGTCGATCCGGGCTGGAACTGGGCGAGCCGGCTTCAAGGGGTTTTGTTACGGACTTGGGGCCTGGACTCGAGCTTCGAGCCGCGCTGACTTGTGCTCAGAAGCGCCTCCGCCAGTCCAACTATTCTGTTCAGAACAGGTGTTCAACAACCGCAACTGGTAGATGCCCAGGCAACTGCAAAGCTGGGTTCCGGGGAGGCAGTTGGACTGTACCGTGGGTCTGAAGAAAACAGGTTCTTCTAGAAGGGGACGTCTGGTGGGTGCGGAAACGTCAGTGGGTGGCAGGGTAATAAACCGCCAAGCTGATGTCCAGATCCAAAGCATTGTTGACGCTTGCCTGGGGTCCTGCTGAAAAAACCTGACTGAAGCCTCGGCGATTCTTGCTTCTGCCATGGGCACTGTCTCGCCCGGTTCGCTAGTGATCGGCTCTGCTCCTAGGTGTCTTCAAACTCATGTCGGGGGTCCCTGAATATGTGCCGGGTGTATATATACCCTGGAAATCCACGACTGTTTTTTAAACGTCCTTTGCACCTCACCTGTTTTTTGCAGCTAAAGCCTGTTTCTTGCGCCTGCAATGAGCCATGGCGTGGTATTTGATGGATTATTCATACTGTTGCCACGTTTAGATTCTACAAAGCCTGTTCCACCCCAACATGCCTTGACACAACAATTTTGGTGTGAACATAGCGGTCCGTGATGCACGCAAAAGTAGCGTGAAATCACAGTGAAAATACCGTGAAATTGGCGTGAAAGCCTGTTTTCCAGCATGAAAGCACGTTTTCTGCCGTGAATTTTGACACCGGTGAATCTATGTGTTTCAGCCTGTCCTTTGGTAATCCCTCCGCTTGTTTTGCGGGAACGGAGGTCAAGTCTTTGCACACTTTGGTCCTGAGCACGTGCCGCGCCTGAATTGTTCAATGGTATCAGCTGAGCTTGGACAAAACTACTCCCGGCAAAAAAACCGCCTTTCACAGAAAACATGCAAAAAAAAACCGCCTTTGGAACCCCAGGGTATATATATATACATATGTCTATACATATATGTATATATATATATACATATATGTATATGTATATATTAGCGCGCGAACTTCCTCCATTGCTGTCTCGGCCCCCCCAATGCGGCTTTTGTCATTTGGGTAAGCACAAGCGCTGCTTGGCTCAAGGTTTGCTTGCCTGGTCATTCTAATTACGCCTGAAACCATGTCCAGCTAAATTTGCTCGTTTTTGCCACAGGAGGCCCGAAAATAGCTCGATCTGCATGAATGACTCTGCGTTAGCCTTTTGCAGCAAAGGCTCGTTAGTCTTTCTTCTATTGACAAACGTAGCTTCTAGTTTAATGATGCAGCGTAGCCCTTTGAGCTGAATAGCATGGATCTGCCTCTGGATGTCAGCTTGCATTGGATGAAATGCCTCATATACCTGCAGCCTCCACCGAGCGGAACAGCAAAGGTGCTTCAGCAAGAACTCAACTTACGCCAAACACAATTGGTCGCAGGTGATACACCGCACTAAGTGGCTCCAACCCCGGCACTGGCTGGTGCTCGGAAATCTTGGAAGCCTCCCCTTTGCTTGTTTGCTTCACGTGCAACAACTCATGGGGGCTGGGGGGGAGGGAGGGGAGGGGGAGGGGGGGGGGGAGGGAGGGGGAGGAGGAGAGGGGAGGGGAGGGGGAGGGAGGAGGAGGGGGAGGGGGGGAGGGGGAGGGAGGGAGGGGAGGGAGGGAGGGGGAGGGAGGGGAGGGGGAGGGAGGGGAGGAGGAGGAGGGAGGAGGGGAGGGGGAGGGAGGGGAGGAGGGAGGGGGAGGGAGCCCAAATAAGCCCCAAAAATATGGCCTTATTAAAGCCTTATTAAGGTCTTATTTGGGCTCCCTCCCCCTCCCTTCCCTCCCCCCCAGCCCCCATGGACAACATGTCCCCTGCTCACTTGCTCCGTTCATCCAGCCGGACCCCTTGGTCGATCCCGGAAGGCCAAGAAAGACGTATACCAATATGGTTGATGTCTGGCAAGCAACTCTTGGGACGCCTACTGCCATGAAACTACCTCTGAAGGTAGCTGGGGGACGGATTCTAGTCGCGGTGGAAAACCATCTCCCGAAAGGCCCATGCGGTCTGCGATGTAGCACATTGTGATAACTCCAGCCTGCAAAACAACTTGAAACAACACTGTATAGTGGCTTTCTAAGAGGAACTCCCAGCGTACTCTTAATACATCGATAATATCTTGGTGCAAACAAGCATGCAAGCTTAGCTGAGAAGAGCGAATGCATTTGGCTTACAATGGAAAGCACTCCGTTGCTCAACCAAACTATCAGGAGTCGTCATCTCTTGTCATGGACGAAATAAGACCAACCCTAGGCCCATGCCCATTGCATCCCTTCCCCAGCGCGCCAGGCCAAAGAACAGGTCGAAGGCAGGGTGCTGAACCTGAACATGCTCACACCAAAGAAAGTTGGGCAACAATCGTTGACAGAAACCCCAGCCAACACGGACTCCTGAATGTCAATGAACCATTTACAAGTTCTTTCCCTCCCAAGCCGTCTCCTGAGGGTGCGTTCTTCGAGAGACCTACTCGAAGCAACCCAAGACCAACACCAAGCCTAGGTCCTCCAGTGGAGAGGTTCGAATAAGGGTACCCTTTCTTTTCTTTTTTGTCTTTTTTCGTAGGGGACCCCTGCCCCCAAAAAAGAAACGATAAAAGTTGGCACCTAGCCGGGGGACCTAGAAGCCCCCAATCCAAGCCAAGACCGACGACCAAGCCCAGGCCCAAGCCAAACCCACCGACCAAAACCTTTGGCCCTGCCTGGAGTCTCCTTCTGACCCTTAAAAATGGGGTCACCCAAAATAAAGGGGTCATGGACCCATTTTTGTTTCGGGTCAGAAGGAGACTCCAGGTGCGTCCTTTTTGGAGCCACGGAGCCAGCGGCCCCAAGAAGCGCTTCTCGATGTCCTCGGTGCCGCCGCGGCTCGCCGCGAAGCGCTGCCCTCGGAAGCGGACGCCGGAAGCGGACGTCGAGACGCTTGAAACCCCACGGGGCCCACAGGTTTGGTCACAGGGCGTCACGTCCAGGGCGGATTTTTGGGGTTTTAGCGTTGTCATGGGGTTTGCCTTACGGTGTTTGTTTTTCTTTCTTGTTTGTAGGGTGCTTTGTTTCCCGGTTTGGGGGTAACTTAAACCTTAGGGACACCGTCAGCTTGGAAGCCGAAGGGAAGAAGCCTATGGCATAAGTTGCCCAAAGGACCTGGAAAGAAATGAATCACCTTTTGGAACCCTTGACTCAATTCAATCTGGACCAAAACTGATAAAACCTCGGGTGCCCTAAGGGTCCGATCGAGGGAACTCGCGGAATGCCTCCAATGCGCTTACACACCGTTTCGGCAACTCGGGGTGCTACAGGGACCGCAGGGTTCTGCATACCAAGCGTAGGGTAACTCACTTTGCTTTTGTGGATTGGCCGAAAATCCTTGCAACCATGGTGACGCCCAAAAAGTAACTCATGTCCAACTCTGGGAGCAAGGGACACCCAAAGGTCAGCTGGCCGTGCTTCAGCTGAATGCCAACAACCCGAATCGGGTTCGAGGCTTCTCGGAAAAACCATGCGTCTTGGAAGGCAGAAAACCCCATATTCCAAGAGGGAGGTGGAACCTACAGAACGAGCCCATGGTAGGATTTAAAAGATGTAACATGGTCCAAAAGTTGACCCAAACCAAAGGGATTCAAGGAGCCATGGAATTGTCTGGGAACTATTAACATGTATTTTCTCGAGCTGGTAATCTCACTTGCTGAGTAGATGGCCCAAACACAGTCTAAACTCGTTGTTTACCACCAAAGTGGTGCTCCCCCAAAAAAGTTAAGTCCAAAGACTCTGGAAGTGAGTACTGTCCAGCAGTCCAAGTGCTACTCAGGGGTCGGATCATGCTGTTTCTCAAGGAATCAAAAAAAAACGACCCCGAAGCGAACCATCCCTTGTGGCTTCCTTGTGCATCAACCGTTCATTCCCCTGCTATTTTAGCATCATCAAAGTCGTTCCCCTTGGCGGTCCTATTGGAAGAGGAACCCAAACTGACTTTGATACCTCTTGTAGAGTAGTTAAAAACAGCATGTCTGAAGCGGGTCGCGGGCCCGGAAGAAAGGATTTCAGGGGAGTGACCCAGAGTGTCACCAGTCCTGGCTAGCGCGCGATTGCACTTCACTGTTTTCTCAAAATAGGGGACCAGGTTGGTTTCCCTTCAAACCCTCCCAAAAGGGGTATTTTCAGAAACGCCTTCATGTGCAACCTAAGACCATCCCAGTTTGCGAAGTATGGCTTGGGCCTCCATTAGCCCTGGATTGCAAATTGTCGTTTGCGCGTTTCCTGAGCAGGGGGCATAGACACATTACGTCTTGTTTCCCGTCGCATGTTCCATGGATCTTTGGGTGCTCGTAGAAGGCTGGATCGGCTTATCATGCTCCTCGGAGCCGATAGCAGAAAAGATCGCGTGAGAGCGGACAGTGGTTCTGCCAAATTTGCCACGCGCCTTCTGCGCCATGCGCGACTGGAGCGATGGTTTAATTGCCCGGCACAAGTTTGGGCCATGGAAAACACAAGTGCTTTCTTCATCAGATCAACCACTTCAGTGGACCTGGGTGTGTGTTTTTTGAGGGTGGCCTTTTTTGAGTGTGTTTATTTCGGGAAACGTGAAGCCACCCATTTTGAAAAACCCTCCGTTGCTATGGAACCTGGCAGGTCCTTTTAAGTTGAAATACCAGAGTTCAAGTGATTCAAGAATGTCCAGTACTATGGCAGCCCTTCACAGCCTTGAGCCAAATGATTGGCAAATGACAAAACTCATGCACCATACCCGGAGAGGAAGCTAAGAGGAACACGCCCCTTGAAAAGGTGGGTTTGTTCAACTCCCCCCTCTTGCAATTTGGGCAGGCGCAGGACGGGTCGCAGCGAAGGGTGGCTTCACCCCTTGCTAGAATGATTGCATCAACTTAGAAGGCGACCAAAAGACAATTCTCGAATTAATGACATGGATACGAATTGATGATCCAGGCAAGGGTGCCATCTCAAGTTGCTAGCAGATGCGCAAGAGCGGCAAAACAGCTTGTCAAGAGTCGAGATGCCGGCACAAAAGCCATGACGAAGCAAGGCACTCAACTGGGAACAACAAAGCTCACCATTAAATGCTGCACTGGTTTGTATGGCTAAGATATTCAAAGCCCATTGATGCATTTTGCAATCAACTATGTTTGTCTAAGATTTGGCAAATGCTCAAGTGCGGCATGCCCGGCCGCCTCACAAGGACACCGGTTTAGGGCGCGAAGTCGCCCCCCCTGATTCCAAGCACACACAAGTTTCTTTACTGCAATGCAAACCAAGACACGAAAACTTCAACCTGGGAACACAAGGGTGTCTAGCAGCGACCTGGTGAGAGCCAAGTAGTGTCATGCAATTCACTTCTCGTGAAACTAATTGAGTTCGCTTCATGGTGTGAGGCGCTCAAAGCTAGCCAAACACGGCAGGGGCAGGTGAGGTGTTCATTCAGGCTTTGATTGTTGCGGACAACCCCCAACATGAATCAAGCCGAGGGCAGCGCCCCACTTCTGAGGGCCGAGCGCCTTCGTCAAGATATCTCCCTTTTGCTCGGCTGTCACAATGTAATCTCATTCGTAATTGGGTTTTCAAATGCTTCTGACAATGAGGCGATGTTGATCTTGTGAGTCTTTTGCAAGTGTCTCAATTTGGAAGAAAATCTCTTCCCAGCACTTCACAAGAATCTCACGGCCAAAGAGGTGGCTGCAAGCGATCTCCAAGGGCATCACATCATTGTACACGGCGGTGGCCAAAGCCACTGTTTCGGATTCAGTCGTGGATCGGCTGGTGACAGTTTGCCTTCGGCTTACCCACGCAAGAGGAAGGAAAGAGTTTTCGGCTTCAAGCGCAACGAAGTAACCCGAACAACTCCTCATGGTGCTTACACAGTCACCAAAACTCGCATCTACCCAACAGGACAGTCACAAGTTATCCAGAGGGTCACGCATGAAGGAGTGCAAGGCATAAGTCGTGGTTCGGCTCAAGTAACCCACTAAGCTTGTCTCGAGCAACAAAGCTGCAGCCTCTGGACGCTTTGGCCCCTTGCCTTTCAAAATCCTGGTTGCCGGTGGCAAACTTCTAGCGCGCTGAATCAGCTTGATCTTCCCCTTTGCCTTTCAAAATCCTGGTTGCTGGTGGCAAACTCCTAGCGCAATGAGTCAGCTTGACTTTACCCCTTGCCTTCAAAATCCTGGTCGCCGGTGGCAAACTTCTAGCGCGCTAAATCGGCTTGATCTTCCCCTTTGCCTTTCAAAATCCTGGGCGCCGGTGGCAAACTTCTAGTGCGCTGAATCAGCTGGATTTTCCTGATTAAGCCGGCGACTGCCGTCTCGCATGGGGTAAATTCGAAAAGGCTCCTGTTGTTAAATGCTGACTAGGCAAGTACAAATTGGCAACACCGCCCTCCGAGCTCATTCGACGTGATTGGGGTCACAGGGCCATGGGGTTCTTGGCAACCTCCCAGACAAGATCAGGAGCAGCTGCAACTTGAGAAGCAGTTTTAAACATAACCCAACTGGACGGATGAGCTCTAGGGCACTTCCCTCCGAAGTGATTCGGCGCGACGAAGCTCACAGGGGGGTCAACCTCCAGGGTGCGACACTAGTCAGGCAAAAACTCGGGAGAGGGCCGAACACTCTTGCTTCCCAATTAAGCAGCGGCCGAAACTTTCTGTGGATTGCTTCAAGTGGGAGGGTTCTTCGCCGCTGCTTTCGCTATGCTTTCGCAGTGTGCGTTTTGGCTTCCGCGGGGCTTACTTTGACCTTAAACCTTTTCGCGCGCTTTTGCGGGTCAGTCTTCCGACAAAGTGTTGACGATGAGCTTCCAGGCTCAAGTTCTTTTAACTACTTCATAAGCCGAATAAAAAAACAAAACCGTCTTGTGTGTCTTGACACGCCGGTGCCCTACGAACACGGAAGCCAGTTGCGAGAACCACTTGCTTGTCACTCACGCGCTACCTGGCGGACGTAACCCGGCGCGCCGGTGGCAAAAAGTGCGGGTGCGGCGTCCACGAATTCATTGTGATATCTAAGGACCTGACATCGCCTTTACGCGCCGCTTGCTTGGCATAACCCGGCGCGCCGGGCGACGCACCACGCCTAGTCTGAACGCAGCATAAACACTTAGTCATACGAGCGTGTGTTCGTAGCCGGGCTGTGCGGGACCAGCGCGATGAGCTTGCAGGCTCAAGTTCTTTTCACTACTTCGTGAACCGAAAAAAGGAACAAACCGCCTTGCGCGTCTTCGCACGGGGATGCCATCCGAATGATAGAAACCAGTTGCAAGAACCGCTTGCTTGTCATTCACGCGCTACCTGGCAGACGTAAACCCGGCGTGCTGGGTGCCGAAAAGCGCCGATGTGGCGTCCACGAATTCATTGTGATACCTAAGCATCTGACATCGCCTTCGCGCGCCGCTTGCTTGGCATAACCCGGCGCGTCGGGCGACGCGCAACGCCTAGTCTGAACGCAGCATAAACACTTAGTCAGCGTGTGTTCGTAGCCGGGCTGTGCGGGACAAGCACGATAAGCTTTCAGGTTCAATTTTTTGTACTACTTCAAAAGCCGGATAAAAGAACAAAACAGCTTTGCGCGTCTTCACACGCGTATGCCATCCGAATGATGGGAGCCAGCTGCAAGAACCATTTGCTTGTCACTCAAGCGCTATCTCGGACGTAACCCGGGCAAAGTGTGGCTCTGGCGTGACCACAAAGAGAATGTGTTGTCTCAACTGACGTCGGCCGAATGCGCTGCATTCCTGGCGCTCGAAGTCGTCTGGGCGCTACGCGACGGACGTACCCCGGCGCGCCGGGTGACACAGACAATGCTTAGTCTGCGCAGCCCAACGTTAATCGTGCGAACATATTCACGGCCGGGCTGCGCGAGAAACGCGCGACTAGCTTTCAGGCACCTGTTCTTTTAGCAGCTCCGCAAAACAAATAAATGAACAAACGTTGTCTTGATCATGCGGCTGCCATCCGAGCGAGGGAAGCCTACTGCCACTGTGCGAGCCACTGCTGGGACGGATGTAAATGCAACGCGCGCGCCTGACGTCTATCAAGACACTGCTATCTAAGCACCTGACGTCGATTCTACGCGCGGGTTGCTTGGCGCTCGCGCGCTACTTGACAGAGTAACCCGGCACGCCGGGCGACGCGCGACGTCTAGTCTGAACGCAGCGTGAACAGTTAGTCACGCGAGCGTGTGTTCGATGAGCTTCCAGGCTCAAGTTCTTTTCATTGCTTCATAAAGCGAATAAAAGAACAAACCGTGTTGCATTTCTGGAAACGCGGACGCCATCCGAATGATGGAAGCCAAGTACACGAACCGCTTGCTTGGCGCTCGCGCGCTACTTAACGGACGTAACCCAGCGCCCTAGGCGACGCAGAGTGCGGATCAGGAGTCCACGACGACATTGTGATATCCAAGCGTCTGACATCGATGTTACGCACCGCTAAGCTGGGCGCTCGTGCTCTGCGTGACAGATATAACCCGGCGCGCCGGGCAACACACAACGCAGTCTGAACACTCAGTCATGCGAGCGCGCGTTCACGGCCGGGCTGTGCTGGACAAGCACGACGAGCTTCCAGGCTCAAGTTCTTTTGGCTAATTCATAGACCGAATCAAAGAACAAAACCGTCTTGTGTGTCTTGACACGCGGATGCCATCCGAATGATGGAAGCCAGCTGCGAGAACGAATTGCCTGTCACTCACGCGCTATCTCGGATGTAAACCGGCGCGCCGGGCAACACAATGTGTGGCTCTGGCGTGACCACAAAGAAAATGTGTTGTCTTAGCTGACGTCGACTCGACACGCCGCATGCCTGGCGCTCAACGGCGTCTGGGCGTTACAAGTATTTCTATCCTTGGTGTTCCTCTACAACGCACTGTCGAGAAGATCTGAGGCTGCTGCCCAATCCAAGCTGCGAAAACCCACCGCCTTTCCCAAGCACAACATTCTTTGGGGGGACCTACCAAAAATACAAAAACCCGGTTGGCGCTCTTGGGTCCCTTAACATGGAAGCCTTGCCACACCAATTGATGGCAAGACGGTCCTGCCGTCACTTCACGTTTTTGATTGCTTACTTGTCTATACGCCAAAACTAGGAGATGTTCAGAGGTCGATTGCTGAAAAGCCTGGGTTTTGAGGAGGCATGATGCCATGATGCCTCTACAAAGACAGACAGTGTTAGGTTTACCCTAGCTTCCTGGGCGAACCACTATAATTCAAAACTGGACATGATCAATCCCAGGTAAGGGACATTCACTATGATCTTTCTTTCGGTTTAGCCCGTCCAGCTCAAGCTTGTGATGCCTACCTCTTGAACCCCGCAATTTGTTCGGCTTCACAAGGGACGAGTTGATTTAGGGGTTCCCGTTGGTTTCCCTTAAAGACCAATCGAAAGTGGGGTCCACCATCTTGAGAAACGCCCATATTCCACTCGAATGCTCGAGCCGAGGCACGGTTGAGCTGCGCGTCCGCCTGCGCGGCCGCCTGTTGCAAGTTGAGGTCGAACCGGGAGAACGTGCTGAACCTGGATGCAACCAACCCTACCAAGCTCCGCATTTTGAGGTCCCCAAATGGGTTAATATGGATTCTATATTATATATATATATATATATATGTATACTCACGTATATGTATACGTGTATATATATATATATATACATATATATATATATATATATGTGGTACCCCCCCTCAAAAAAACCCAGGTTTGGTCTGAAAACACTGGTATTTACTGTGTTTTCTGACAAAAAGCCTGAATCTGCCAGAACCCTCAGTTGTCAGGCTGTTTTTTCTCAGTTTTCAAGGAAGCTTTCTGGAAACTCTCTGGCAATTCCTCAATACAATTCAGACAAGAAACTCTCTGCAAAACTGAACAAACTGCAAAAAACTGAAAACAACTGAAAAAATATTAAAAAAAGAGAAAAAACTGAAAAAAAACTGAAAAAACTGAAAAACCAAGGATTCTGAGGGACATGACCCCCCCCAGCCATGTCCCTCAGAATCCTTGGTTTTTCAGTTTTTTTAGTTTTTTTTCAGTTTTTCGGTGTTTTTCCGTATTTTCAGTTTTTTTCAGTGTTCCTTGGCATCTGAGCAGAACCGAGCCCATATTTGAAGCTGTCTGGCTCCAGCGCTTCCTTACTCCTCTTCTGTGACCCTGTCCTAGCATGGCCAAGGAGCCTGAGGATATGACCTTTGATAACCTCAAGAACGCATGCGACGCTTTCGTATTTTCTGAGTTTGTATTGCCCTGGTGACTTGTCCAGACAAATTGAGCCTCGTATTTCCTCAGCATTCTCCTAGCATTCTCCTAGTATGCTCCTTTAGTATTCCCCCAGTCTTCCTTGAGTATTTCCCTAGTATTGCCCTAGTCTTCCTGTAGTATTCTCTTGGTATGCCCCGAGTATTTCCTAGTAAGGGAAGGGAAATACTAGGGGAATACCTTCAGTATTGCCCTAGTATTCCTTAAATATTCTCTTGGTATACCCCTAATATTCTGTCAGAACTCCCCTAGTATTCTCCCTGTGTTCACCTTTAATATTGCCCTAGTCTTTCTTGAGTATTTCCCTAGTATTGCCCTGGTATTCCTTTAGTATTCTCTTGGTGTGCCCCCAAGTATTTCCTAGTAAGGCAAGGGTAATTCTAGGGGAATGCCTTCAGTATTGCCCTAGTATTCCTTAAATATTCTCTTGGTATACCCCTAGTAGTCTCTCAGCATTTTCATAGTATTATCCTAGTGTTCACCTGTAATATTGCCCTAGTATTCCCTGAGTATTTCCTTAGTACTGCCCTATGATTGCCCTAGTATTCCCATATTATTGCACTAGTATTCAGTTAATTTAGTAGTCTCTTGGTATACCCCTCGTAATTCCTCACTACCCCATAGTATTCCCTTGCTATTTCCCCTAGTAAAGGGATGGAATTACTAGGGGAATACCTTGAGTATTGCCCTGGTATTCCTTAAGTATTCTGTTGGTATACCCCTAGTTTTCTCTCAGTATTCTCCTAGATTTCTTCCGGTATTCACCTATAAATATTTTCCTAGTACTTCCCTAGTAGTGCCCTAGTATTGCCCTAGTCAGGAAGCCTGAGAGAAGTCAGACAGATTGAGCTTGAGAGTATACCCCTAGTATTCCCTCAGTACTCCGGCGTATTATCCCAGTATTCACCTTTAATATTGCCCTCGTATTCCCTGAGTATGTACCTAGTATTGCCCTAGTATTCCCTAGTATTGCGCTAGTATTCCTTCAGTATCTCTTGGTATACCCCTAGCTAGTGTTCCCTAAATATTTCACTAGTCAGGGAAGGGTAATATTAGGGGAATACCTTCAGTACTATCTAACTAACTAGGCAGCTAAATAGATAACTAACTGATTAGCCAATTAACTAGCTAACTGGCTTCAGAGCTCATTCATTACAACTATTTAACTGACTAATTAGCTGACTTGCTGACTGGTTGTTTGACTAACTAATTGAACTTGCCTTGAACTTGAAAAATATGCGTTTCGCAGAGGCAAACATACCACATGTTTCTCAAAAGTAGCATTTTTCCTAGTGATTTTGGCAATTGTCCAGGTTCAAAATATATCTATATATGTAATATATTACTTTGTGGGTTCTTCAAACATAGGGGGGCCCAAAAGGCGCAAAACATGGTTTCGCACAGTGATATATGAAAGTTAAAGCTCCACTGTGGTTAATCTGATCGAAATGGGGTTGCAAGAGAACACTCCATGTTGCTGGATAAATATATTCACTCAAAGGGTGAGCGTGCATGGGCGTTTGTTGTGGGAAAACTGATCTATACAATCCGCCTTCGATACACAACAAAAGGCTCAGCAAATGGGCTGATCAAAGTGGGTAGGGTTTAGGAAACCAATTTGGACCCCAAGTTGTGAAGGCTTCACCCATGAAAATCCTGGTCGGTTTGGCTGTTCATAAGAACTCGCGAAAAACAGCGGGGGGGCTTTGACTCATTGGGTCACAAGTACCCAGGGGCTGCTCCCAAGGCCCTGTCCAAGGTAGGTCTGAAGGGAACATGCAATCAATGCCAAGTGTCCCAACCTGTTGATAAGGTCACTGCTTTGAGGTTTTGAGCACCGCAGCCGAACAGAATGAAAGAAATAATTGCCCCGGACGAACCTGCTGAACCTGGCAACTTCGCATTCCGAAGGCAGATTCATCTTTCTTCCCTGCTCTCGAGCTCTGGAAAACACGAAGATTCCAAACGGCAAGGGAAGCGACAACAGTGGATAGGATGATTTAAGTTTACATCACCAAAAACAAATGATCCTCAGGCCAAGCAAGCACGACTGGGTGCTTTGGCAGGCAGGAATTCGGCCCCACGTCAGCTCAACAAAGAGGACACCAAAAAACCTTAAACACGTTGATTCTTCTTTTGGTGCCCCTTTCAATCCCCAACAATGTCGGTACCCTCAATGGCCCTGGTACCCTCACTGACTCTTGCCGCTTCCTTTACACATGCCCCGGTTTGGCACAAGCGCCAAGCCACAGCTTCGGGGTGAAGGACAACGACACCTGCGGAATCCGTTTGACTGGCTCATTGGAAACCTGCCATTTTCCGATCCGTTTGCGATCCAGACAGTATGTTGTGTTCTTCCCCAGGTCTACCTCAGCATTTGCTCCAACACAAAAAGAACATGCTTGGCATTGGCTATGGGCCATGTTTAGTAAAACGAAACATAGGGGGCACCTTTGGTGGACATCATTTAGGCGGGGATTCATGTCCACCAACCACTTGTGAGGTGGTTTCCTCTTAAAATTCAGAGCCATATAAACAATTTCAAAAGAGACGGGCGATTTCTTGAGACATGGCCTACAGGTTTCCTGGCTGGTCACCTCCCACCGTGGTTGTCACATTCGAGCTCGAAGGAGGGCAACCCTTCTCGTAGGGTATACCGACGTGTTTGCAGAAGCTCCTCAACATCCCCTGCATCACCAGCACACAGGCCAGCCCAGACATTTGGATCCCAACACATCCCCGACATCCCTGGCCCTGCGATGGGCTCCTGATGCCACGTTGTCCAACCTTCCAAAAAAAACTGTAAATACCGTGATGTTCCTTATTTTGCCACGGGTTTCTGTGGGGCTGAGAGGGGACCCCAGGGATGCAGTCTTCGTCTGATTGGCTTTGGGTGTGCGCCACACCGCGCGCGCGCGCGCGCCGAATGCAAGCTCGCACGCACGCACGCAAGCGCGCACACGCACGCGCGCAAACACGCACGCATGCACGCACGCATGCACGCACGCAAGCACGCAAACACAGGCGCACAGACGCATAGGCGCACGCTAGGGTGGGTGGCTGGGTGGGTGGGTGGGTGGGTGGGTGGGGGGGTGGGAACGGTGGAAGGGTGGAAGGGTGGGAAGGGTGGGAACGGCCAGCACAGCTTCTGAGAGCGAAGCTCTAGGAAAAAACATCAACCTATGGCGGCGAAACAACATCGCAGGTCCTCCCACATACTTACTGAAGCCCAAGCCAACAATTTCGATGTCAAGCCTTCCAAGATGCAAGTGGTAAGGCGCTGATCTGGACTTTTGAAGGTGGTACTGACCAAAACCTGAAAAGGGATCCCGGTCTGAATTCGGCGCTTGTCTCAATTTGACCCCCGATCAGGTACTGGAAACTCGGCCCGTCTGTGGCCGTTCGCATGACAAGAAATCAGCCCCAACCCATAACTTTTCAGGTTGGGTCCAAAAGATGGGGGGACTCCCAAACACGTGCATGTTGGCTTCCTTTGGGTTGCCTGAAGCAAGATTTGACAAACTATGCCCAGGTGATGTTTTCATCCGCGACGCCATTTGCAGCAACCGCTCCGTGGAACCCTGGAACCCTTCCAGACCCATGCAGTGGAGCATTGAGCACTCCCCGAGCTTTGTGAGACCTAGCTTCCAGAGGTCGCTATATAATTTGCCCAGATCCGGGCACGTGCATTGTCTCCTGCTTTATCCTTGCTTTCTTTCAGACGTCAATTTCTCCACTCAAATGCAAACATCGAAAGTGGTTTCTTTGCCTGTCCCTTTCTCCTTTGTTTCTGGGTTCTTTGGCTTCCCATGCCAACGTGCCTTCCCGCAAGAAGCAAACAACCTCTTCTCGCTCGGTTCTTTGGCTTCCCACAGCCCCCAGCCCACGGGTGTGGGCACCACCAAAAGGAAAACCACGACCCAATTCACATGGACGACGTTCGGGACCCGGCCCCTTCACAAGGAAAATGGTCCAAACCACCCCCCCAAACGTCAGGTGAGAGAGTAAGCTATTTTGGGGCAGGGTTGTGGGATCAAGGGGTGTACCCCCATGATACAAGGGCATCTCCCTTTCTATTTCACAAATTCCTCTTTGGGAAGCCCTCTCTTTTGTACCACAAAGTGGTCATTCCCCACTTTGCCCTGGGCCCCGGGGAATTTTCTATTGTTTTTTCTAGGGGGGTCCGATGTTTCAAAAAAAACAAAAAAAACAACGACAAAGTGGTCATTCCCCACAGCCCTAGAAGGTCTGACTTTTTCAAAAAAAAAACACCAAAAAACACACCGACGTAGTCATTCCCCACAGCTCTAGGGGGGTCCGATTTTTCCAAAAAAAGAGAAAAACACGACAAAGTGGTCATTCCCCACAGTTCTAGGGGGGTCCAATTTGTCCCCGAGGGGTCCGATTTTTTTTTGTTTTAAGTGGTCATTCCTCACTTTGCCCTAGGGGGGTCCGATTTAAACCCAAAAAAATAACCCCAACAGCATGCGGTGCTCTTTTTAGTGCTCGCACCACCCCGCAGCTGTGGCAGAACCTGGTGGAACCCTGGTGAAACCCTCATGGAACCTTACCTCAGGGCCGCCCCGGACCACCCCGGAGCCTATCTGGGCTGAGACCCCAAAACTTTCAGCTGTTGGGGAAAAAAAAACAACAAAGTGGTCATTCCCCACTTTGCCCTAGGGGGGTCCGATTAAAAAAGAACAGACAAAGTGGTCATTCCCCACTTTGCCCCAGAAGGTTCCGATTTAAACAAAAAAACAACAAAGTGGTCATTCCCAACTTTGCCCTAGGGGGGTCCGATTAAAAAAAAAAAATACACAAAGTGGTCATTCCCCACTTTGCCCTAGGGGGGTCCGATTAAAAAAAAACAGACAAAGTGGTCATTCCCCACTTTGTCTTAGGGTGGTCCGATAAAGAGGGGGGTCCGATTTAAACAAAAAAAACACAAACCAACAAAACAGACAAAGTGGTCATTCCCCCCTTTGCCCTAGGGTCCGATTTTCCAAAAACAAAAAAAAACGGCCCCCGCATCAGCCTTGGACGCCTTGTGCCTCGGCATCTGCGATTCCGTGGCTGACGCGTTGGAGTTGTTGTGGCCCACCTCTCTGAACCCGCTGGACAGCACCTCGGACCCAAAACCCCAGGACCCCACTTGGCTGACGTTGGAAGGGGAGCTAAAATTCTGAAATTTTAGCAGTTAAGTGGTTGGATTTCAACCACTAAACCACAATAAGCAAAAATGTAAAATGTTTCCCAACAACAACCATGGAGAAGGGCGGAGCCAAAAACCAAGGACCCCAAAGCAAAAGAAAGCAAGACCCGAAAACATGCAAAGAAAAGAAAGAGGCAGAGGCAAGACTACATCGCGGTGTGTTTGAAGGAAGATATTTCCTAACAAGAAAGAAACTAGGCTGTCCATTTTCAGATCCCCGACAAAAAGTTTAGCTTTTCGTGGGCTAAATGCAAAACCGCACTAAACACCAAAAAGCTAAAGGCTAAGGAGATGGCTGGGAGCCATCAAGGAAAGAAAGACCCGACAAACACGCAGAACATTCAGGTCGGACTGGCCGCATGAGGCAAGCTCGGGGCCGGCTGCATCGCTTCCTTCGGCAAAGTTGTTGGAGACCGAAAAAGTTACCCACCCGGCTCCCGTGGGGTTAACCCACCCACAATTTTCGCCGTGACAAAGGGTGCAGCCAACAAAAAGACATGGGGGGTCCTGAATTTCGACAAAGCACCCAACCGTCCACAACAAAATGGTTTAAAGAAACTGTGGGAAGAAACAGTGGTTGATGAACTAACTCTCAGTGCCCCCACATTTGGCCGCGGTCAACCACTTGCTCATCGCGCCCTCAACCTCAAACCCACCCTCGCATCGCAACTGAGCAACTGACTCCCGCATTTTGCGCTCGGAAAGCAGCCTCTGTACACAGCCCGAAACCCCAAAGGCCTGAAACGTAATCCCTCAACCACCCTCAAAGTGGCGCAATCGCCCACAGCCAAATTATCATACATCGCCCTCATTCAGCAAGGGTGCCCCAAACATGTCCACACGGGCATGAGATAAATATCCCAAAGTACGCGCCGATGGATCAGCCACCTGAAACTGGTGAGATTTCAGCCTCTCGATCCTGTGGATGGACGAAATCCTGCACTTTGAAGCCATGGGAAATCATTGTTTGTTGGTACCTGGAGTCTCCATGACCCGAAATAAAAATGGGTCCATGACCCACCCCATTTTTTAAGGGTCATGGAGACTCCAGGTATTGACAAGAGCATCATCAGAAACCAGGGTTTCTTAGATGGTGCGAAATGGATTTCGCAACCATCCACAGTATGTCTTCGCCTTTTTCAGCGTGCGAACACCTAGCGATCAAAAGATATCGAGGACATCGCCGGGTAAACAGGGCTCTGTGCCGCACCTTGCTCCCAGGTTTCCACACCGATCACCGATGCTTCCAATGAATGCGTCACCCGGGGAAAACCCAAGCCCCGAACCAGCTCCACTTTGAGTATACATTTTGGATGGACACCAAAAGAAAACCACCTGTTTGGAAGGTCCCCCCCAGCTCGAGATGAACCCACATTCAGGTTTCTCGGTGATCAGCCAAGGCGCACCCTGGCTTTCATCGATTTTCCGTTCATCGATTCTTGCCACCTTCCGTTTTGCTGGAAGAAGGATCGAGGAGCAAATCTGAACGAGGAGCTGCTCCTTGCGAGGCAGTTGATCGCATGGAAGTCATCAGCCCAACCATCTGTTTCGGCCATGCAATAGTTCCTGGCCCAATAATTAAGAAATGCCTTGCTCAACCCCCATGATTCCGGCATTAAAATTCGCGTCACCAGACTTGCGGGATACCCTCAAACATGGGAACTTTCATGTGGCCTAGAGCCGTAGGCCGACACTCCGAAAAACAAATCGAACCTGCGCAGAAATTGTTGGCTTGGATCAGATCCGCGAATTTTCTTTGTTGGCTTGGGAGTCTCGTGTTTGTTGTTTTGTGTTGTCCCTTCTTTTTCTTTCGACGGTCCCTGGGAAAGCTGGTGACTGAGCGAACTGAAGGAGTCGCAAAATAGGGGGACGTGGTTTTGTTTCTTGGTTTCCCTTTAAACTCAGAAAAAAGGGGTACCCTCACTGGCGTGCCGGTGCTCTTTCAAGCAAACGGCAGAATTATTGCCCCCAATCCCTATCAAATGATGTTGCGCGGTGGACCGCTTAATTGCCGTGCAAATTATTGCCAAACATTAGGTCAATGGGGCAAGCGTAGGTGAGTCATCCAAACATGGGTTTGTCTCTAAATGCGAGAACTCCTCAAATAGGGCTACCTGGAATCTCCATGACCCGAAATAAAAATGGGTCCATGACCCCTTTACTTTGGGTAATGACCAACCATTTTTGAAGGGTCATGGAGACTCCAGGTGGTTTCCTTTTGGCCTCCCTTCAAAACAACCCCAAAAAGGCTACCCTCGAAACAAGGACCCACCCGAACAGAACCATTGAACCTTTCACAGGCGCAGTCGATGCATTGAAGACTCCAGTGTGCAGGAGCTTGGCCTGCCTTCACAAAGGATGCCTTCACAATAGGCCAAGTTGAGAAGTTTGTAACCCAGGTTGTAAACCACTTAAAAGCCCCCCTAGTCGTTTACAGTGCAAATGGCTAACGACCTGCTAACTCGCTTTGTTGATTGTTTTTTCTTTTCCTGGCGCCACTACACTTTGTAGCAACCACCCACGTCACCAACGGCGGCTTTTTTGTAGTGCTCCGTTGTAGCTGCACGGCAGCTTTGCGCGTGCCCACTCGTGTTTTCTGCTCTTATTGTCAGATCATTGCCGGCTCTCCTGCACCCTCGGTTTTGATTGTGGCTCTGACAAAGTCCACCTGGAGTCTCCTTCTGACCCTTTAAAAATGGGGTCATTACCCAAAATAAAGGGGGCATGGACCCATTCTTATTTCGGGTCATGGAGACTCCAGGCAGATTCCAAGCGCAGGAAAGTGGCACCGGCGTCCCAAGTCCCCCGCCCCGACGGGGCGAGAGCTTTCGAAGGCGAAAGGACGGAATCGAAAAAAGCGCCGAGAGCTTCGGAAAAGGAAAACAAACGCGCGCGCGCGCGCGCCCGCGCGCCCGCCACGGAAACGGAGGTCGTTTGTCACCGGCTCGTTGCGAAATGCCGGTCATGTGGCGAAGGATCATTCGGAACATTCGGACGGCCCGTTGCCTTTCTTGAGTTGACCCCTCTGTTTTGCAAAAAGGAACAACACAGCTCTAGGGGACACTTCCATGTCCATTCTTTCCAGGGATCCTTCTTTCCAGAGAACCATCAGAACCCCAGGGGAAACAGCGATCGGTTTTTGAAAAGAACGATGGTTGAAAAGAATGGGGAATCAACCCCTAGAAAGCAATGCTGCCTGTGTCCCAAAGGATCTTCTCTGAAACCTAACAGTAGGCTAAAAGGCCGAAACAGTTGAGAGAATAACATCGGGGTGATGGCCATTCGCATACACTGGATTGGTGAAGCGGAATGAGGTCTCCCGCAACCACGTTTCTGACATCCGCCTATATCCCTTGCTGTGGATTATTTTCCCGTTTCACACGGAGGGATATCCCATTTAAATCTCTATAAGTTGTGAAGTGGAACTTTCTTGGCGGCATGACTGTCAGCCCTACATACTGGGTGAACGACGCAATGACACCCCCAAGCCAGGAAGCTTCAAAAGACTAGTTGCGATCTGCTAGGTTCCAACTGCAAATCTTGAACTCACCTAAGTGGATCCCAAAAAGTCCGGAAACATGAAGAGCTCAGCTCCTGCGTCAGCAACCTGTCGATCACATCCTTGTGCCTGAGCGGCGGAGCTGTGCGGTTTCGGTTTTCTTTAGGCCAGGCTCCTTACCTTTGTTGGACACCTCAAAACGGGAAAAAGCTCCAAAAACGAGGGGAAAAGCCGGGGGGAGCCCAAAAGTGGGCAGGCTGAAACAACCGTAAGAAGGGAATCCTCCAAAAAAATCACATGGGACAGGTGCAAGCATAAGCGCAGTTGGTAAGGGCGCCGGACATGGCAAACTATACCAACGCGTTGCGCAACCCAAGAGGTCATTGGCCCCTCTGAGTAAGCTCTTGCAATTGCCAATGAATCGCACCAGTTTGCATGCATATCTCGAAAAGATCCTGGCAGGCTCTGGGTAAGTACCCGGTAGGCACTGAGTAAACACCTAGGAATAGGCACAACACACACACAAGTGACACAGGCAGGTAGATAGCAAAACAAACTGGCAGGCAGGCAGGCAGGCAGGCAAGGAAGCAAGCAGGCAAGCAAGCAAGCAAGCAAGCGAGCGAACGAGCGAGCAAGCGAGCAAACGAGCAGGCGAGCAAGGAAAATTATCAAACGTGCAAACAAACACAAGCAACCAGCCAAGCAAACCAGCAAATCAAACAACAAATATGCAAGCGAACAAAGAAACTGACAGAAAGATTGACAGACAGACCGACAGACAGACAAACAGACAGACAGGCAGGCAGACAAACGGACATGCAGGCAGGAAGGCAGGCCGGCAGGCACGCAGGCACACAAACACAGACACACAGACACTCAGACACACAGACACGCAGACACACAAACAACCAACTAACCAAACACAAACAAACAAACCAACAGACGAACAAGCAAGCAATCAAACCAAACAAGCGCACACAAAGAAGCCGTCTGTCCAAGGTGCTGCTGTTCCAAGCGTCCCTCGAGACCTTCGAGGTCTGGCAATTCCAGCTTTTCTGTTTCGCCTGGGCCACGAACGGCTCGTGTGTGTTTATATCAATGGGAACAGGCAGGATTGGGACGAAGACGATGCGATCCAATGTCAAAACTCGTCTTGACTCCTTTCGGCTGAGCTTCAAGTCTACTTCGGCCCTAGCGGAAGGAGCAGGGCATCTTGGCAACAAAACTATGCAGGCCAGATGCTCTGCACCCAAAAGCTGCCTAGCACACATCAAAGTTTTGTTCGAGCCCCATGTAACGCAGGTCTGTGGCCTGGACGTGGTTTCAAACACTTACCTGAATCAAGCGAGGTGATCAATACCGCCTTCACCCAGAGCCTCTAAAGCGGTCACATATTCAAAATTAGGTACCTGGAACCCTGGCAAAAAAAGCCAAGGACGAAAACCTGCGGTCCATATCCTGGTACTTTGATTTTGACCCATACCCATATCTGTGTCCTTCACAAATATCATTGTGAAAAGTTGTTAAACACATCACGCCACTTTTGACACCGGCACAGCCAAGATCCAAGCTATCAGCTTGAGGCGAGGCTTTTGAAGACATTGGATTGCCCCCCAACTTTACCTGGAGTCTCCTTCTGACCCTTTAAAAATGGTTGGTCATTACCCAAAATAAAGGGGTCATGGACCCATTTTTATTTCGGGTCAGAAGGAGACTCCAGGTATGAACATGACAACCATTCCTGCCATCGGATTCCTTGAGTGTCTAATGCCATGCCCGACAAATAAGCCCTTAGTATTCCCTCACACACATAAACCCATCCCGCAGAAGCACCCCGCTATTACCCCCCCAAAAATTCGTTCTACCAATAAAAGGGACAGAAAGGTCTGAATAGGCCTCAGTTCTTCCTCAGCAAGGCTTCACCGCCGTCTCAAAACAGGCCTACCTCTTTTTAGATTATTTTTGTTTGAGCAAAACAAAAAGGGCAACCGTTACAAGCCGATAGTTTTGGGGTTCAAGGGAAACCACCTTGGGGCCCTGAAAGTCCACTGCCGGGCGACGCATCATCATCGCGGGCGGAGTTGAGTGTCCCTCCAGCGCCTCCTTGCGAGCCTCGGTCGTTGGTCGGCTCCCTCGTTCAACTGGACCCCTTGGAAATGCAATGGGGGGGGGGGGGGTTATCTCAGGATAAGGATAAGCTCTTGGGGAAAAACCGGATAGCTTTTCCTTGTGGTTTGCTTGTTGAGGAGGGGTTTCCCATTTACCCTCTACGAGAACCAGGGGTTCAAATCCCCAAACCAGCAATCCAAACCAGCAACTAAGGGTTACCTGATCTGTGTATTTGTTTCTGTTGAGGGTATGGCTTGAAGGGAAGCCACCACAAATTTCCCTGTTGTTGGGGGCCTCTTTGACACATATGGGAACGTCCTGATCAAAGCGAGCTCACCTTCAAAATGAGACCTGTGCAAGGCGCCGAGGCCTCGCGAACTCCACAAAACCGAAAACACTGCAAGTTACTGATTAAAGAGTCTTCCAAAGCGGCGTTTCGCCGCTTTGGAACTCGCCGTTTCGGCTCCGGAATAGAAAACAACTGGGCAAGGAGTGCAAGGCACGAACAAATCGTCCACGAGCTTCAAGCTTCAAGACACTTCTGCCCGAAGAAATGGCTGGCACCCGCGGGCCCGCGAGGATCCAAAAACCCGAGAACCACTCGCACTCTCGTCTCTTGGAGTCCGCACCCCTGCCCCTCACTGCATGTTGGTACGAGAGACCCTGCCCACATGCTGACCCCGGCCGTCAAACATGAAGGGACAAAGTTGGAACCAAAAGTCCCCGATGCGCCCACACAACCAAGGGTTGAAGCGTCCCACAGGCCTCACGGGTCGGTTTCTGAACGCCGGAGTCCTTATTCCGTTGACTTTGTTCTGATGGTCAGCCTTTTCTGACAGAGAGTAAAAAGCGTTCTTTCAGGAAAGGAAAGATGATCAGCAACAAACTTACTTTCAGGAGAAAAAAGAGGATCATAATAAGACTGACTTTCACGAAAAGAGAGGGTCAGAACTAAAACGACTTTGAGAAAAGAGCTCGGCAGAACCAAACTGACTGTCAGAAAAAGAGGCATCACAACCAAACTGACTTTCAGAAATACAAGCTAACCACAAACAAGCTGATTTTCAGAAAAAAGAGGATCGGAGCCAAACTGACTTTCAGAAAAAAGAGGATCGGAATCAAACTCACTTTCAGCAAAAGAAAGGACCAGAACCAACCTGACTTTCACAGAAAAGAGAGGATCATAACCAAACTGACTTTCAGAAAAGAAAGGCTCAAAATCAAACTTTGAGAAGGAAAAGAGGATTAGAACCAAACTGACTTTCACAAAAAGAGAGACAAACCGACCTTCAGAAACAGAACAGATCGGACACAAACAGACTTTCAGCAAAAGAGAGGATCACAACCAAACTGAACTTCAACAAAAGAAAGGATAAAAACCAAACACACTGTCAGAAAGGAAGAACATCAGAACCAAACTGATTTAACACCAAACTCACTTTCAGAAAAACAAGCGGATCAGAACCAAACTGACTTTCATAGGAACAAACAGAGGATCAGAACCAAACTCACTTTCAGAAAATGCATGAGCATAACCAGAAAAAAAACAACTTTCCGAAAAAAAAAAGAGAACGAACCGAGGATCAGAACCAAACTCACTTTAGGAGAAACAAAAGGTCAGGAACAAACTGACTTTCAGCAGGAAACAGGATCAGAACCAAACTCACTTTCAAAAAAGCAAATGATCATAACCCCCCAAAAAAGGAGTTTTTTCAAAACAAAAGAAGGATCAGAACCAAACTCACTTTTAGGAGAAAGAAACTGTCAGGAACAAACTGACTTTCAGCAGAAAAAATGGATCAGAACCAAGCTCACTTTCATAAAACAAAGAGGATCAGAACCAAACTGACATTCAGAGAAAACACAAAACAGGGATCGAACCAAATCGAAAGCAGTTGGGACTCCGAATCTTCGGCCGAGCGCGCTGGTGCAGCCTAAGGCGCTCGGTCCAACTCCTCCGCCACCGTGTAGTCCGTCAACGAATCCAAGGCAACCGGGGCCATGGCGGAAGGAAACCGGGATGATCCAAATGTTCCGAAGGCTCACTACCCAAAAGTTGTTAATTTTGATAATAAAAAAAGAAAACATCCGATCGAGTTCTTCCGGTGTTCTTTTTTGGAGGGACCGAGTTCTTCTGTTTGTTTTTTTTTTTGGGGGGGGGACCGCACGAAAAAATGGTCACAGAAAGAACAACAAAAAAAATCGGGAAAGAAGGGAAACCAAAAAGGAAACCAACCGCCTGAAGAGGTACAGTACCTACAGTAATTCAAAGAACCCCATCATGTCTCTGGAAACGGCCAAAGCACTTTGTTGCTTCAGCCTTTGGACTTCCTGAGCCAGGCGCTGCGGCTTACCCCGAAAAGGAGGGAACGGGTGTGGAGAGGAAAAGACGGCAAGGGAATAAAAAAGGAACAAGCGAAAACAGGGATCCGGATGCATTATACACCTGAACATTGCATGGTAAATGGCGGTGTGCCTTTGTTGGGGTGGAAAAAGCCATGTTTCAAATGGTTGCAAAATGATTTTTTTTAAGGAGCCCTGCGAAAGGAACGGAAAGCCGGAATGGGGCTTTAGGCATGCAGCTGATCGGATTCCCCAAAGATCCTTCCGCCAGGGAGGAGTTGGGAGCCGTTTCCGCTGCACTGCAGCCTTGGGCCGAGCCTTGCACTAGTCTAGTGTGGTGTGTGTGGTGTGTGTGTACGCATGTCTTGGCTGACGTGGGGAGCTAAAATTCTCAAATTTTAGCAGTTAAGTGGTTGGATTTCAACCACTAAACCACAATAAGCAAAAATGAAAAACTTTCTCCCAACAACAACCATGATGTAGGCAACGCACAAAATTCAGTGCATACCTGGAGTCTCCATGACCCGAAATAAACATGGGTTCATGACCCCTTTATTTTGGGTGATCCCATGTTTAAAGGGTCATGGAGACTCCAGGTACATACACCTATGTCATAGGTATGTACATAAACTTTCCTTGGCCCAAGTCAGCAACAGCTCTGGCTCCCCATGATCCTTGCTCAGGGAAGTTGACCTTCCTTTTACACCGTTCCTTTCGATGTCCTAGGCCTCCTACGTCATGACGAAGCCCTCCTCCTTTCTCACTGCCGCATCGCAGAACCGAACTGGCTCTTCAAACCACGGCAGTGAGGTTTCCCATTCTGCACCACCTCTTCCGTCATGCCCTCCTCGCCCTGGATGGCTTCACATGAGTGTGCTACGGCTAGTCCTGAGCCAAATATGAATCATGGAAACATGCACAGCGATCTCCAATCCTTGAAACAAAACGGGGAAGCTACCACCGCACTTCTGGCCCTTCGTACCTTTCTCTTTTGCAATACGTCACAGCTCACCATGTCCGTCCTCACAAAAAAACATTTGGGCCGGCAGGTTTTCAAGTGACGGAGACTGTGGATCCCCGGAATTTCCTGGACCGAGGGGCAAAGGCCAACTTGAGGACAAACCATATATGGTTTTTCGGGAGGTTTCGGACTAGGGTCCTCTGGCTGGCGAAGTGTTTTTGCTGCAACACCTGGTGGTGAAAATCGGAAGACAGCAGCTGTACGGGGGAAAAACAACGGCCATCGAAACGTTCTGCGCAATGGAGCGCCCGACGTCACTTTTAAGGGAGAAAGTGGCTGAGCTAGGAGCTTGCAGAGTCGGCTTTTGGCGAGCACATCAGACGCGTTGCGCATCACCCAGAGCCCCGCCAAAAAAATCCATGCTCTGCAAAACTGCTGTGATTCTAACACTCATGCCGGGACAATGGATGTCCATGCAATTGGCACCAAATCACCGCACCTGTTTCAGCCCCTTCGGCAGCGAATGCATCGGAACGTAATCCAACTTACGCTCGCCGAGCGCCTCGGAAAAAACAAATAAAATATCCAGGTGTCATCCAAATCTTGCGACACGGCGGTTGGGAACAACCCAATCTCAGAATCGCCTTTTGGTCCTGACGCCGTAGAGTGTGGGTCCTATCAAACGTTGAATCTACACTCACTTCCTGAGTGGATTGGCCAGTTGTTTTATTTGTTTTTGCAAACTGTTCTTTACCATTAATATTGTCTTTCCAAAAAGCTTAAATTACAGGAACTCGGGAAGTGAGGACAGGCCCGTTTGCCCCGCATTCGCACACATGCACCGGACAGGCCTTGGCAACACTACGCATGCTTGCGGATGCCTGGCCTTTTAAAGAATTTGCTCAAGTGCGGGTTGATCATAGGGCCCCTTGCCGTGCAGAAGTTAGATCTTCCAGGCAGTTGCGTTGGCTGCCACGAGCCAACTTCACTTGGGCTGCTCGAGCGCCTCAAGAGTTTCTCGTCTAAAGGTGGACAACTACGTGTCACCCAGTGCGACACGGCGGTTTGAATCGCCATATCTCTCGCAACCATTTTGGATGAATTATCTGTTCAGATTGTGGCTGTGTGTCAGAATTAAGGGCCCCTCGAACTGCGCTGTTCAGTATGGAACTGTATGAATGATCTGTTTGGTTGCTCATGCTGTGTGTGCGCGTGTGTGCGTATCTAAACAAAGGATCCCACACACACACACACACACATGTAAGCTCACGGTATCTAAACTACTCGGTGTAAGACTATGACACAGGGCTTTGTCGACTCAACCGTCTATCAAACGTTGAATCTACACTCACTTCCTGAGTGGATTGGCCAGTTGTTTTATTTGTTTTTGCAAACTGTTCTTTATATACCATTCATATTGTCTTTCCAAAAAGCTTAAATTACAGGAACTCGGGAAGTGAGGACAGGCCCTTTTGCCCCGCGTTCGCACACATGCACCGGACAGGCCATGCTTGCGGATGCCTGGCCTTTTAAAGAATTTGTTCAAGGCCCGTTTGAGGCAAATCTTCCAGGCAGTTGCGTTGGCTGCGACAACTTCACTGCTCTTTAGAGCGCCTCAAGGGTCTCTCGTCGAAAAGTGGAAAATATCACCCAAATCATCTGTTAAGATTATGGCTGTGGGGTGCTCGAACTGACGCCGAAGCTACTTGTAATACTTAAGACATGGGCTTTATCGACTCATAGGTCCATCAAACGTGCTGAATCCACACTCACTTCCTGAGTGGATTGGCCAAAAAACAGCCAAACTGTTTCTTTACCACTAAAAAGGGCTTCCCAACCAGTTTAAAGTCCAGGAACTCAGGGAGTGAGTACGGGCCCCTTTGCCGCGCTTCTTTGAAAAATAGGTGCGGGTAGACCTTTGGGTCCGTTCGAGGGCTGTCAGGTCTCTCCAAAGGCGGAAAACTATTCAGGTGTCACCCCAATTGCGATGCGGCCTCTTGCTCCTGACGCAGAGTGTGGGTCGCCATATCGCTCACCATTTGGATGAATGATTCGTTCAGTTTCTGGTTGTGTGTTAGAATTTGGGGGCCTCGAACTGCGCTGTTCAGTATTGAGTTGTATGAACAATCTGTTTGGTTGCTCATGGTGTGTGTGTGTGTGTGAAACAGGATTTTGCGCTGGTTTATACCCCGGTAAGGGTTGAAAGGCTTGGGTGTGAACAGGGGGTTGCATGTTCACTCGTTCCTGACTGGCATTTTGAGCCCCATCTGATAATAAACAGTCCCAACCCAAATGCGCGCTTGCAGCTGCTGTCAAACAATGCTCAACGTTGAATTGAGTCCCGCAGCTAAAATGCCGAGGGTGGCTGTGGCGCATCTTCAAAGTTGGCAGCTGTTCATGTGCGTGTGTACACTACCACCGGAAAAGCAAACAAGCATGCGTACACAGCAAACACACACACAGAGACCGAGACAGAGACAGGGACAGAGACAAACACTGACACAAAAACAGACACAGACACACTCAAACACCGAAAACACAAGGCATCATCCCCCGAACTCGATTTCGGAAGCCGGCGTGCGAAACGTTTAACATGTTTGCAAACAGTTGTGCCAGGTTCGAAACCCACGCAGAAGTTTATCACTGGGCATGGCCCCCTACATTAACCCAAGAGCAAAACTCATCAAGCTGGCTCAACAGTTTACGTTCAAAGGGAAAGCAAAAGGGACGCCTGTGCAATAGCGGATCCTTCGAAAGGCAGAACCCTGGACTTGCACCGGGAAAGAATGGCTATGCGTTTGAACGGGGGCTCAACAAAGGCTGGTGGATACAAATCCCCGCGTCAATGTCCACCAAAGGTCCCCCAACTCAAACTCATGCCCTTGTTGCGGGGAACTTAAAGGGGCAGGTGACATAAGCGATGGTATCCACATAACATGGTCATCTCGGTGGCTTAGAAATCAGAGTTACCACCCTCAGGTCACCTGCCGCCCCATGGATCCCGGCACACAAGTTGTGTTGCACTTGTCACTCGAGCCTGCCAACAAACACGGGCATATCCCGAGGCACATAGCAGAGTGTTTGGAAGGCAACGGTTGCGACAACACCGTGGATTTCATGCCGGGGCATCAACCCCTGGGCTTGAGTCTTTCCTGGGCGCATCAACACATGGAACCCAAATAATCCTACGAGTACCCCGAATAAGGTCCGTAAAGCATCACCCCGACCAAGCTTTTCAAACATTTAATTATTGGTTTCCTTGGGGCCTCAGGAACCCAAAAGACACACATACCTTGTAGTCCCCAGCTTTTACATGACCCTGACCCTGGTAGAAAACCTTTGCCGGGTTGATCATTTTGATGGGGAATGAAAGGGCAAAAGGATACCACTCAAGAACTTGGAAGCGGGCTCGCCCCATGCACGCAAACGTCTAGATGATAAGTTGCCTGATCCTTGCCATGTTGGTTTTGACTGCCTGTTCATCACTTCTGGGTGAAGCGAACCTTGCCAACTTGCCAACTAAGAATAAGCGAGCCTTTCTCTCTATGAAAAGACTTTCATTGTGATTGTGGAATCGTGTATGAGGTCCAAAAGTTGCCCACATCAGTTTCCTCAAGTTGGTTCCAATTGGCTGTTTGCTCAAACCCCGGTGATTCAGTTTCGACTCTACCAAGCTGGCCGTAGTGGGCTGCATACCGCACACCTCTTTCCGGATCAAGCAAAAAACACTCATTTCGATCTA